GTTCATCATTAAGAGCTTCTGAAAAGAAGAGTTTTAGAGATACTTTTAAGTACTGCATGGCTTTTAGAAGTCCCGTGAGAATAACTGTGGTCACACAGAGGTTGAACTCAGGCCGCCGGCTCCCAGCTGCTTTGCTGCAGCCACAACACTGCTGACCCCTGCCAGCCCCAGACCTCCCAGCAGTCCCCATTATGAAGTCCGTGGGCAGAGGGCACATGTGGCTTCCATACCGAAACTGCAATTCCTGGTCCTCTTGCTGGAGACCTCACCCCAGAGGTGGGTGGCTATAGATGGTGCCAGTGAAGCCTAGAAAGGGGGAGCATGTCTCCTGTTCCCAACCATTGAGGTGTCCGTAAATCTCCACCAGGAGCGTGGAGCAGCCTCTGACCAGGACCATAGCTGGTGATCCCCCATAGTGAGCAACCAGGCCCACCCTGCTTCCTTGATTGACCAAGTTTGGGGTGAGGGGTTGGTTGTAGGGTTTTCCTTAGGGATGGCAGCACCATCGGAGTCTGTGGGTGCACCAGGCTGTGGGCCGCATACCTGCTCACCAGGCCCTGCCCACCTGTGCTCTCTTTCTCTCTGTCAGTGTTGGGGCCTTCGTGAAGACCTGGCTGCCGTTCATCCTTCTCCTGGGCATCATCCTCACCGTCAGCTTGGTCTTTAACCTCCGGTGATGGCTGCTCTGTGGCCCCGCACCCACCAGGGTCCCAAGGAAACAGCCGCCATCCCTTTTGGTCCCAGATTTTTTTCTCCTCACCCCAAAAGGCACGGTTGGGCCTGCTGTTGTGGACCGGGGATCGGGGCTGGCAGGATGGAAGGGCTGAGGACCAGCATGAGGCGGGGGTTTGTTGTCTCCCTGCCTCTCAGAAGCACCCTGTTCCCTCCTCCCCAGGCCTGTGACTCCGGCCCTGGAAGCCCCTTTGTTCTTCTGTTGAAAGGCCTTGTCTTCCCTCTGTAAAGCTGCTCCCGTCACTGCCTGCTGGGGTCCTGCCTCAGCCCAGCCCAGAACGGGGAGAGGAGGACATTTGGGCTCACCTGTCAAGGTGGCCTTGGGACCAGAGCTGGATTGGGAGCCTGTCCTGCATTAGCTCTGGTACCAGCATGGGGTGGGGTACACTTAGTAGTCTCTATAAGCCAAGCTGCCCTAGGACCTTCACCAGTGGCCTCTAGAATGGTCCAGAGGGGCTGGCTGGTCCCTTTGTCAGACTTCCGCCGGCAACTGCCCTGGGGGACGTGTGTGCCCATCTGGCATCCTCCAGCCCATGCAGTCCTCTCTTCACTGTCCCACAGCCTCCCAGTGCCTCCCAGCATTGGACCCATCTACCCCTGCAGTTTGGGGCCAGAGAGGTGAGTGGACCTGACAAGTGCCAGAGTGACTGTGTAGACAGAGCAGTGTAGACAGCACTCAGCCCCAGGTGTGGACATCACGCTGGTGATGGCTTCCCTGGGTGGCCTGCCAGCACAGCCAGTGCCATCAGGGAACTGAAGGGGCTGTCCACCGCCTAACTCCAGCTCCCCCTTTCTTCACGTCACCAAGGCCCTGTGCCGCCCGCCTCACCCCTCTGCTCTGTGGATTCCTTTGGGAAGGGTTCCCGGGGCAGGACAGTAAAGACTTTTGACTCCAGTTGGTGCCCTGTCATTGTTTTCTCCCTCTCTGGGGCCCCCTCGCCCCTCAGCTCATAGCGTCTTGGTATTCTTGGGACCCTCTTACCCTTGACAAGGGTCTGGTTGCCAGCACCATAGTTGAGTCTGTGTCCAATGCCTGGAGCCATCAGCATCCCTCAGGTATATCCCGCCCCTGCAGTTTGGGAATTCCCTGCCATTCTACATTCCCCATTCCAAAGCTTTCCTCTTGAGGCAGGTGAGCATTGAAACCCTTTCCATTGTTCCTGTTGGGAAGGACTTGTAGGATTGGGGTTAGGGCTGAGTAGGGCCTCCACTGCTGTCCCCACCGCCCCCAGGGGTGCAGAGTTGGGGATGAGCTAAGAGCACTGCCAGCCTCTGGCCCCTGTATCCATCCAGCCCTCGCCTACCTCTGATCCTTTGCTCTCCACCGTCCCTCTCATGGCGGCCCTGCCTAACCAAGGCCCAGCTTAAAAGCTGCTTCCTCCCTGAAGCCTTTCCCAATCCTGTCCATGCATCACTTAAGTTGAACTAGCCAAGGATTTGGTCTCGGAGGTGACCTTGAGGACATGCTCTAGCAGCTGACCGTGGAGTCCCTGGTCAGGCATCTGCCAGCTCACCCCAGACCCTGCAGTGCTGTGGTCTCCAAGCCTGGGACTTCTCCAGGGCAAGGCAGAGGTGCCCTCTCCCCACTTCAGAGCAATTCCATTTACTTTTCTTTTTTCTCCTTTTTCTTTCTTTCTTTATTTTTTGGGAGACAGAATCTCACTCCGTTGCCCAAGCTGGAGTGCAGTGGTGCGTTCTCAGCTCACTGCAACGCCTGCCTCCTGAGTTCAAGTAATTCTCATGCCTCAGCTTCCCAAATAGCTGGGATTACAGGTGCCTGCCATACAAATATTAATTTGTATTTTTAGGAGAGGCAGGGTTTTACCATGTTGGCCAGGCTGATCTCAAACTCCTCAGGTGACCTGCCTGCCTCAGCCTCCCAAAGTGCTGAGATTATAGGCAGAAGCCATTATTTTCAGTAGAGACAGGGTTTCACCATGTTGGCCAGGCTGGTCTCAAACTCCTGACCTCGTGATCTGCCTGCTTCGGCCTCCCAAAGTGCTGGAATTACAGGTGTGAGTTACCGTGCCCGGCCTAAGTCCCTGTCTCTCAAAAAAAAAAAAAAGGTCACCAACAGCGAGTGCTTACTCTGTGTTAGGCCTTGTGATGAAATATCGTCTTAGCCTCACAACAGCCCCACAACAAGGTAGATGCCACCATCCCATTTTACAGATGAAGAAGTAAGCAGAGAAGTGATTTGCTCCAGGTCACAGAGGTAGGAAAAGTGGAACCATGGTTCAAACCCAGCAGCTGGGCTCCAGCGCCCCCACTCAGAGCCACCCTGTGCGATGCCCTCACTGGAGCACAGGAGTGGAAATGAGAGGTGCTGTGATGCGAAAGGAGAATGGCTGCGGAGGTGAAAAGCTCTCCTGGCGGCAGCAGGCCTGTGAGATGGCTATTGTCCCCGCTTCATAAAGGAAGAGAGTGAGGCTTACAGGGATTGTCACTGATCCCAGGCCACAAGGGAACCATGCGGCAGAGCCAGATTTTAACCCAGATCTGCTGGCCTCTAGGACCCTGCCTCTTAACGTCCCTCTTAACAGAGGGACGTTGCCTAGAGACTGGCTGCAGTGCAGGGGCACTGAACTCTGGAGGAGGCTGAGCGAGTCCTAGAGCTGGGGAAAAGTATTCCCACAGGGAGCACAGAAGGCCCAGGGGTGTTGAAGGACAGGAAATAGTCCGTAGCTAAGGCTCTACGGGTATAGGTGATGAAGGGGAGAAAGCCAGAGTAAGGACAGCAATCCTGAGGGTCAGGCTGAGGGCCAGGCTGTCCTGGGAAGTGGTGAGGCTTCCATCTCAGGACGTGTCTAAATGGGACTGGACTGGTTTGGAAATGTGTGAATGGGCCCGAGGGATGGCCTGGCTGTCTGCTGGCACTTTCCAAACCAGAGGATGACAAAGAAAAGTATGTTCGAAAGCTGTGCAACAAAGGGCCAGAGGGGCCTTGTGTGGCCACAGGGAGGCAGGAGAAGAGGAGGCTTCCAGAAGAGGCTGAGCGGGGACTGAGACCTGGGCAGGGGGAGGACAGTGGAGACAGACAGATGGGAGGGCACCTGGAGTGAAGTGTGGACAGCACCCGGAGGTGGCAGGAAGCAGCAGGAGGCCAGGGGCCAGGATAATGGGGGCTGGTTAGAGGTGGAAACTTGGAAATAGGTTTCAAGTGGGGAAGAGGCCAGAAGAATGCAGGCTGAAACACAGCAGGAGAGATGGCTGCAAGTATCAGCGTCAGGGAGTCACAGCTATAGGAAGGACAGGAGAACAGAGAAAGGAAGGGAAATTTAGAAACCCGAAGACCAGATAATGAAGTTTCATGCCTTCCAGGAGGGAGGGCTGCTGAGAGGTGAGAAGGGGGCAGAGAAACATCATTGCAGGCACCGGGACCAGGATGCTGTTGACCACTCTCCTTCCATTTTGAGGGCCTTAATGGAGGAGGCAGCATCACAGTAATGGTCCCATAGCAGCTGCTCAATGGGTATTGCATGTGTGGGTGCATAAATGCATTAATCAAGAGTCTACTGGGGACTGGGCAAGGTGGCTCACTCCTGTAATCCTAGCACTTTGGAAGGCTGAGGCAGGTGGATCACCTGAGGCCAGGAGTTCAAGACCAGCCTGGCAACATGGTAAAACCCCATCTCTACTCAAAATACAAAAATTAGCCGGGCAAGGTGGCGGGCACCTGTAGTTCCAGCTACTCGGGAGGCTGAGGCATGAGAATCACTTGAACCCAGGAGGTGGAGGCTGCAGTGAGCCAAGAAGGTGCCACTGCACTCCAGCCTGGGCAACAGAGCGAGACTCCATCTCAAAACAAACAAACAAATAAATAAAGTCTTCAAGGATCTCACTGAATTTTAGTGAAAATCCTCTGAGGGGGGATTATTACCCCCATTTAACAGATGAGAAAAATAAGATTAACTTGCAAAAAATAAGTAGGGAAGCCTCAACTGTGGGCTGAGACGGAGGAGGGGCCCTCTGTCTCTCAGTGGTGGTGGGAGCCAGTTCTGATGACGGGGAGGAAGAGTGGGTTTTTTGTTTGCTTTTCTGAGACGGAGTCTCGCTGTGTTGCCCAGGCTGGAGGGCAGTGGCAAGATCTCAGCTCACTACAACTGCCGCCTCCTGGGTTCCAGCGATTCTCCTGCCTCAGCCTCCCGAGTAGCTGGGACTGCAAGCACTCGCCACCATGCCCAGTTAATTTTTGTTATTTTGAGTAGAGATGGGGTTTCACCATGTTGGCCAGACTGGTCTCAAACTCCTGTCCTAGAGTGATCCGCCCACCTCAACCTCCCAAAGTACTGGGATTACAAGCATGAGTAACCGTGCCCAGACCGGTTTTGTTTATAAACCACCCCTTGCCCTACCTCTCCCAGGGGTCTATGAGGAGCCCTCTAATCTTTAATCCATGGCCCTAGGTTCAGGGGAGGGGGTCGGGCCAGGGCAGGCCATGGAAAGTGAAGTGGACTTGGGGGGAGTCAGAAAGCTTTGGTGTGGCCTCTTGTGCCCAAGACAACCCAGGAGGTTCAGGGTCCTGAAGCCAATGTAATCTAGGGCCTAAACCTTCTAATCTCAGGGTGGGCAGAAGCTGGGTGTAGAATGGGGTGCTCAGAGGGGCTCAGGGGTGTTCAGGGTGCCAGTGTGGGACCCTCACCTTGGCACTGGAAGATTTCAGGCCTCCTCAAACAGATGGGGCCCAGGACAGCAGAGGGGACAGAGAGGGCTGCTCTGCTGTGGCCAGCATGTCCCAGAGGTGCATGTGGATACAGAGGGCAGCAGCTGCTGAAATGGTCATGGGCATTGGACTATGCTGGAGTGGGGACACCTCACCCCGACTCTGCCAGCTCACACCGGGCACTTTCACTTCCCTTAGAATAGGCCCCTTGCACACTGCTACCCACAGTTTGCATCAGAAGAAATGGAAGAGACCTGCTTAAGGTCGCACACCCAGTGGCAGAGCAGGGACTCTGCGCAGGGTGGTCTAACTGGGGAGCTGGGGCCAAGCCCGGCCTCTCCAGTCAGCTGCGGGGGCGCACCCCGGGGCACTGGGAGTCCAGGCCCGGTTTTGCATCAGGCCCTGCCGAGGTGTTTCCTCCTCCTCAGTGTGGGGCAGCTGCTGGCCGGGCTGCCTGTTGAGTCAGCCTTCTTCCCTCACGGCTCTTCTCCCAGTCCCTGAAACTCGGCTGCCAGGGGAGCTGGAGTCACCTGCGAAGGTGTCCTCCCATACTGGACCCCTACAGGTAACACATGTCGGTGCCAGGGTTCCCTGCCAGGGTCCAGAGACGCAGGCACTGCCACCTGGTATCCTGAGCACCCTCCAGCACCTTGGGGTTGGGGGAGGTGGGCGCATGTCTGGAACTGGAACAGCCGGACAGATGGACAGACCCTCCTCTTGACCAATGGGTCTGTCCCACAGTGTCAAAACAGCAGGGAAGACCAAACACTTGATTCTGCCTCTGGTAGGAGAGGGGACTTCAGGGAGGGGAACTGCTGAGGAGGCTGGGCTGATGCCCATGGCCCAGCTCAGGCAGGCCTGCAGGACAGAAATAGGCCCAGTTCTGCCAAATGTCCTCTCCCACCTCCATCCACACTCAGACACACATACCTGGTGGCCCCCAAGGCACCAGGGGACACCCCACAGCACACAGCCCAGTCACACGTACGGCACAGGAGGAAACGCACAATGCATACTGCACACACCCCACATGGCGCTGTCACCTAGAACGTCACTGAACACACCGCACAGACAATATAGTCACCATGCAGCATCACACTGCAGCAGGACACAAAGACACACTCACACAGCAACTACACAGCTCACAGACCCACGCTACGCAGACATGCCCACCAGACTCGGACCAGGGCACAGAGAGGGACATGGGTTCACACGCCAATCCACGGGGCAGCCCGAACTGTGCGTTTGCAAGACCCACACCTTGGCCATAGAAGTTCAGGGAAACTGCTGTTGTGGAGCACACAGGTATCCACAGAGCGAATGCACACCGTGCAGCCATGCCGAGGCCTTCAGCTCCTGAGGGTGTCAGGAGGGATCGCTGGGACTCAGCCACTGACTCAGCTGGGAGGGGACAGAACATAGCAGGCGGTGGACACAAGCCAGGACCTGCCTGCCAAGCTGCCTCCACCGGTCCCGGCCCCACCTGGAGCCCTGGCATGGAAGGGGCGGGGAAGAGAGGAGAGGCCGCCCAGTGGGCTCAGGACACAGCCCTGACCAAGTCATGGGCCCCTTGCCACGTCTACATGCCCCTCAGCGCTGGGCAAATGTTTTCTTTCCGGAGTCACTGTGGTACCTGAGCATGGGCTGCTGTGCCAGCTTAGGCCTCCACCGCCGGGACCCCACCCTGGTCTTGGGAGAACCGTGTGGCCAGAGCAGAGGGGCCCGGTGGCTCCAGGCAAGAGGGCAGGGCTGGCGGCGGGGGCATCCCTGGGTTGGAGGCCTCGGTAGGAGTGTGTGCGGCAGTTACCTCAGGGGAGGAAGTTGGGGGTGTGGGCTGAGGAGGAGGTTGCCTCAGACAGGAAGGCCAAGTGGGCCAGGGCAGGGTGGAGGTGAAGGGTGGCGGGAGGGGACCCAGGCTGTGAGGTTCCTGGCCCAGGGGAGTGAGCATGTGTGTGTGTGTGTGCATGTGTGTGTGTGCACGCACGTGTGTGTGTGCGCGTGCGTGTGTGTATGCGTGTGTGTGTCTGTCTAGGTGGGTGGTTGTATGTGTGCATTCCCATGTATGTGCAGGTATATTTCTGCATTTAATTAATCAAAATTTTACCAACCATCTGTTGTGTGCAAAGTACTGGCTTTGAGGGTCACTCCCCCTCCCTGCCTCCAAGGAGCTCACAACTCAGATAGCTGGACAATGTGTGTGTGCCAGAGTCTGTGTGATTTTTATGTACATCTTTATTGAGGGACACATTTGTCCCCAGACTTGTTCTTGTCTAGGTGAACCCATCCGGGTGGGCCCATCCCTGTTGGTGTGCATATGCTGTGTGCAGGTTTTTTTGCTTCTTTTTGTTTTGAGACAGAGTCTCACTCTGTTGCCCAGGCTGGAGTGCAGTGGTGCCATTGCAGCTCACTGCAACCTCCACCTCTCGGGTCCAAGAGATTCTCCTGCCTCAGCTTCCCAAGTAGCTGGAATTACAGGCATGTGCCACCAAACCCAGCTAATTTTTCTTTTCTTTTTTTTTTTTTTTTTTTTGGAGACGGAGTTTCGCTCTTTTTGCCCAGGCTAGAGTGCAGTGGTGTGATCTTGGCTCACCGTAACCTCTGCCACCCAGGTTCAAGCAATTCTCCCACCTCAGCTTCCCGAGTAGCTGGGATTACAGGTATGCACCACCACGCCCAGCTAATTTTATATTTTTAGTAGAGATGGGGTTTGTCCATGTTGGTCAGGCTGATCTCAAACTCCTGACCTCAGGTGATCCGCCCGCCTCGGCCTCCCAAAGTGCTGGGATTACAGGGGTGAACCACTGTACCCGGCCAAAATTTTTGTATTTTTAGTAGAGATGGGGTTTCACCATGTTGTCCAGGCTGGTCTCAAACTCCTGACCTCAGGTGATCGGCCCACCTTGGCCTCCCAAAGTGTTGGGATTACAGGTGTGAGCTACCACGCCTGGCCACTGTGTGCAGATTTAAGAACATGTGTAGGGCTGGGCGTGGTGGCTCACACCTGTAATCCCAGCACCTTGGGAGGCCGAGGCGGGCGGATCACGAGATCAGGAGTTCCAGGCCAGCCTGGTCAACATGGTCAAACCCCGTCTCTACTAAAAATACAAAAATTAGCTGGGCGTGATGGTGTGTGCCTATAATCCCAGCTACTCAGGGGGCTGAGGCAGAATTGTTTGAACTCGTTGGGTGGAGGGTGCAGTGAGATGAGATCGCGCCACTGTACTCCAGCCTGGGCAAAAGAGCAAAGCTCCTTCTCAAAAAAAAAAAAAAAAGAATGTGTGTGCATGTCTCTCGTGGGCACGGGTCCGGGTCTGTGTCTGTAGAGGGCCCTTTCTGGGGGAACAGCTGTACATGCGCCTCTTTATGCAGGTGTCTATGTGCATGTGCGGCCATATCTATGCCTACGTGGATCCACGTGTGCACGTGTGTCTGTGTGTTCCATCGCTGCAGTTCAGTGTGGCCCTACCTCAGGGCGTGTGCATGTGTGTCTCTTGCGTCTTCCACTGTGTCCCTGAGTGCGTTCAAGGGCCAGTGTATGCATGTGTGCATGAGTGCCTGGCACCCCACCTTGAGCTCAGCCATCCTGGGGTGGCACCCTACCCATTACCTGGCCAAGTGTTTGGGGAGAAAAGGGCTGTTGGTTCCAGGATGTGCCAAGCATTTGTGCAGGGCTTGACCTGACCCTTGGTCTGCCCCCAGGAAGCTACGTGTGCCCAGCTGGGGCACAGCCCCAGCTGATGCCCCAGAGGGGCCACCCATCTCAAGAGGGGCTTTGGGGTCTGCCCTCCCTCCCCATGGCGCATGGGCCAAAGCCTGAGACTGAAGGACTACTGGACCTCAGCTTCCTGACAGAGGAGGAGCAGGAGGCCATTGCTGGTGTCCTCCAACGAGATGCCCGCCTGCGCCAGCTGGAGGAAGGGCGGGTCAGGTAAGGCAGGGCAGACCCTGGCCAGGGAGCATTGAGAGGCTTGAGTGGCCCCCACCCTGCTCCCTACTGACACCACTGCCGTCAGATGTCTGCGTGGTTCTTGGTTTCGCCCTTTAGTCTCCTCTGGCCTTGGCCAGCTCACAGCTCATCACTTCTCCAGGGGTGACTGTACCAGCTTTCTCGCCAGCCTCTCTGCCTCCAGGCTTGCCTCTTGGGCCCACCTCCTGCAGCTGATGCTCCCCAGATCTGTCCTTTTTTAATTTTAATTTATTTTTTTTTTTGAGACAGAGTTTCATTTTTTCGCCCAGGCTGGAGTGAAGTGGCACAATCTTGGCTCACTGCAACCTCCACCCCTCCGGGTTCAAGCAATTCTCCTGCCACAGTCTCCCAAGTAGCTGGGATTATAGGTACATACCACCACGCCCAGCTAATTTTTTGTATTTTCAGTAGAGATGAGGTTTCACCATGTTGGCCAGGCTGGTCTCAAACCCCTGACCTCAGATGATCCACCCGCCTCGGCCTCCCAAAGTGCTGGGATTACAGATGCGAGCCACCGTGCCTGGCCAGATCTGTCCTTAATGTCCCCGCTGAAACTTCTCCTGGCTCCCCAGTGTCAAGGACAAGCTCCTAGGCATGGTCCACTGGGCCTCCCTGGTCGGTCCTTGCCAGCCCCCACCATCTCCTCTTCCACCATAACCCCCACCCAACACACAGACACAAAGTGACCCCTCCAGCCACTCAGGTGCTCCCCAGTCCCTGAACCCACACTTCACTTCTATGCCTATGCTGGTACTGGAAGAGCACGGTGGTAGAAGAGCATGGGTGTTACAAGCAATGTTTGGGGACAGATACTTCCTAGATTTGTAGCCTTGGCAACTCACCTGACCTCCTTGAGCACCACGCTCCTTGTCTATAAAATGGGGCTAAGGAGTCCTACTTCACTGATTTAAGAGGAATTGGCCAGGGATAGTGGCGACTCCTGTAATCCCAGCACTTTGAGAGGCTGAGATGGGAGGATTGCTTGAGCCCAGGAATTCAAGACCAGCCTGGACAACACAGTGAGACCCTATTTCTACAAAATATAAAAAAATTAGCCTGGCGTGGTGGTATGTGCCTGTAGTCCCAGCTATTTAGGCAGCTGAGGTGAGAGGATTGCTTGAACCCAGGAGGTCAGGCTGCAATGAGCCATCATCATGCCACTGCACTCCAGCCAGGGCAACAGAGCAAGACCCTGTCTCAAAAAATAATAATAAAATAAAAAGTGTAATAATTATTATCCTTCTCTACCTGGAGAATTCCAATTTGTCTTTTAAGAAGAAATTCAAGACTGGGCACAGTGGTTTACAACATTTTGGGAGGCTGAGGCAGGTGGATCGCTTGAGTCCAGGAGTTAGAGACTAGCCTGGGCAACATTGAAAAGCCCCGTCTCTACAAAACAAAATACAAAAAATTAGCTGAGCAAGATGGCACGCGCCTGTAGTGCCAGCTACTCGGGAGGCTGAAGTGGGAGGATCACTTGAGCCTGGGAGGTGAAAGTTGCAGTGAGCTGAGATTGCGCCACAGCACTCCAGCCTGGGCATAGAGGGGAGACCCCATTTCAAAATAATTAAGTAAATAAATAAATAAAGGCAATTCAAATGTCACCTCCTCTGGGAAACCCTCCCGGATTCTCCCAGGCAGAGGTGGCTCTTCTTATTTCTATCACATCATCCGATTCACTATAGTGTACTTGTCTCTTCTGGACTCGGTCTCCCCAGCAGCCCGAGCTCCTCCACAGCACAGATTAAGTCTGATTTGCTGTTGGGTCCCTGGCCCCTGGTCCCAAGCCTGGTACCATGTGGGTGGTAGAATGTTGCTTGAGTGAGTCATGACAGCCACACCCTCCCCCTTCCTCCAGCAAGCTCCGGGCCTCACTGGCAGACCCTGGGCAGCTGAAGATCCTGACAGGGGACTGGTTCCAGGAAGCACGCTCCCAGCGGCACCACAATGCCCACTTCGGCTCTGACCTTGTCCGAGCCTCTATGCGCAGGAAGAAGAGCGCCAGGGGTGAGAGATCTTCGGGGCAGGGCAAGCCATGTGCCGTCCAGGGCGCTGTCTGTATGTGGACAGGGAGAGAGGACCACCGGGGCTCCAGTCCTGACTGCCCTTGGTACTGTGTGTCTTTGAGTGGGCAATGCCCCTCTGTGGGCGTGGGGCGGGTGGGCATCTCCCAGGGCCTCTCTCGAGTCACAGCCAGGCTTCCTGAGCATGGGGGCTCACAGAACTTCTCACCTGCGCCCAGGAGACCAGGCTCCAGGCAGCGACGGGGAGGCTGAGGCTGCTGTGAAAGAGAAGGAAGAGGGGCCAGAACCCAGGTGAGGAGGGGTCTCGGGAAGAGGGAGATGGTGCCCACCAGTAACCAGGGTCCCTCCCTCTGAGAGCATCCTCTCCCTACTCCTAGGCTCACCATTGATGAGGCCCCTCAGGAGAGGCTCAGGGAGACTGAGGTAAGAGTGAATGAACCAGCAAGTCAGTACAGTGTCCCTGGAGGGAAGGTGGAATGTGGGGGGGGCAGGGGGGAAAAGAGCCCCAGCCTGGGAATGGGGAGACCCTGGACATGTCCCTTCCGGTGTCTGCACCTCATCATCTCCTGGGTGGAACAGTGGTGAACAGTGGTATGGATCCAGCCTCTAAGGGAACTTCTGAATCTGGCTATTAAGGGGTGAAGTGGGGCCAGGCGCAGTGGCTCATGCCTGTAATCCCAGCATTTTGGGAGGCTGATGCAGGAGGATCGCTTGAGCTAAGGAGTTCAAGGCCAGCCTGGGCAACATAGCAAAATGCCCCCCATCTCTATAAAAAATAAAAATAAAAATAAAAAAGGGCCGGGTGCGGTGGCTCAAGCCTGTAATCCCAGCACTTTGGGAGGCCGAGACGGGCGGATCACAAGGTCAGGAGATCGAGACCATCCTGGCTAACACGGTGAAAACCCATCTCTACTAAAAAATACAAAAAACTAGCCGGGCGAGGTGGCGGGCGCCTGTAGACCCAGCTACTTTGGAGGCTGAGGCAGGCGAATGGCGTAAACCCGGGAGGCAGAGCTTGCAGTGAGCTGAGATCCAGCCACTGAACTCCAGCCTGGTGACAGAGCGAGATTCCGTCTCAAAAAAAGGCCAGACACGGTGGCTCACGTCTGTAAGGGAGGCTGAGACGGGTGGATCACCTGAGGTCGGGAGCTCGAGACCAGCCTGACCAACATGGAGAAACCCCGTCTCTACTAAAAATACAAAATTAGCCGTGCGTGGTGGTGCATAACCTGCAATCCCAGCTACTCAGGAGGCTGAAGCAGGAGAATTGCTTGAACCTGGGAGGTGGAGGTTGCTGTGAGCCAAGATCGCGCCATTGCACTTCAGGCTGAGCAACAAGAGTGAAACTCCCTCTCAATTAAAAAAAAAAAAAAGGAGTGTGGAGGGACTGGGACTGGCCTGGCCTGGCAGAGGTGCAGGACTCAAGTACCAATGCTCTCACCAATGGGAGCAGGGAGTCAGGCGGCACAAGCCCTGCGGGGTGGGCTGTGAAGCCCCGGTCCCACCGCTCCTGCAGCTTGCTGCCAGCCCTGCCCCGTGGGCTGCCCTAAACCTGAAACTGGGGTAGCTGGCTGGAGTCTGTGACCTCTGACCCCAATATGACCTTTGACTCCTTCTTCACCAGCCCCCACACTGTGACCTCTATCCCTTCCTTCCTTCAGGAACCTGATTTCCCATCGCCTTCTGTCCCGCTAAAGGGTTCAGATCCTGATGAGGCGTCCCAGGCCCAGGAAGGTGAGTGGGAGCGCCTGTTGGGGAGCACAGAGAGGTTTCAGGGGTCAGAGGCAGCTCTAAAGGGCCCCAACCACCTGCGTTCACCCTCCTCACCCCCACTCCCACCCTGCCTCGGAGGTGGGGACGATCCCAGGGCAGCACCGGGGCCTGAATCTGCAGCTCGCTGGGGTTGTAAACCAGTTCCTCCAAATTCGTTCAGGGGCGGGCAGGAGAGGGCTCGCTTAGCGTCTCATGCCCCACCCCAGACCCTGGCCAAGGAGACCTGCTGGTCTGTGCCGAGAAGGCGGACCCGGAGCTGGAGTCCGCGTCGAGGGGAGGGCAGGAGCCGCGGCCCCCGCAAGCCCAGGTAGGCGGGAGTGGCCCGCGGCTGTTCTCAAGATCCGGAGCGGATTCCGGGCGGGGAGCGCTCCTGCCCAGGGCTGCGAGCCGCCCGCGACCCAGGGCGCTCGGGGCAGGGGCGGGGAAAGAAGGGGCGCCCCGTCACTTGCCCCCTCTGCAGACCAAGGCCGAGTCCCAGATACTGGAGAACGGGGAGGAGGCCCCGGGGCCGGACCCCTCACTCGACCGCATGCTCAGTAGCAGCTCCTCCGTGTCCAGCCTTAACTCCTCCACGGTGAGGCGGGAGGGAGGGGACCCGGGCGGCCGGGGAGGTGGACACGTTCCGACGCGTAGCCCCTGCCTGCCCCTCCCTCGCCGCGGGACCCAACGCTGCAGCCCCCTGGCCTACCACCCATAACTCCGGTCTGAAGCCTCCGCGCTGCCCCCGGCCCCGACGTGAGCACTGCGAGCGGCCCTGACTCCCACCCAATCCCGTCCGCAGCTGAGCGGCAGCCAGATGAGCCTGTCCGGCGAGGCGGAGGCGGTGCAGGTCCGCGGCTCCGTGCACTTCGCGCTGCACTACGAGCCGGGTGCCTCTGAGCTGCGCGTGCACGTGATCCAGTGCCAGGGCCTGGCCGCCGCCCGACGCCGCCGCTCAGACCCGTGAGTGCCCGGTCGGCCAAGCGGGGCGCGGCTGTCACAGCCCAGCCCACCATTCAGAGGGTCTCGGCCGGCCTCCTCGTTCTCATGTTCAAAATGGGAACAACAGCGTTATTGGGAGGCGTGGGATTGAGACAATCCCTGTAAAGCGCTTAGCACGAGGCCTGGCATGTGTTCAGGGTGGTGGTTGGGGGAGCCCACAGGCAGGGGAGAAGACTCTGGGAGGGCCCCTCCTCACCTCGGGTTCTCACCTTCCCAGCTACGTCAAAAGCTACCTCCTCCCGGATAAGCAGAGCAAGCGCAAGACGGCAGTGAAGAAACGGAATCTGAATCCGGTTTTCAACGAGACTCTCCGGGTGAGGCTGGGACCACGGTGCGGTTCCCCGTTAATGAACAGGACGCCCCTTCCTGCGGGGCGAGGTGGCAAGGGCAGCCTGGAGGATCGGCGGGGGGGCTATTAACTCGTTCTCCAGTGTGTCAGCCTTGTGGTGGGCGTGGTGATAGTCCAGGCCCCCATTAATGCCCTTCGGGGCTCCCCAGAATTCCTTCACGGTAGGAACGCGGTAGGACCCGCCCCAGCCAACTCGCGCAGCATCTACGCGGGCCACCAGCAGTGCTCCGCTAAAGTGCACCTCCTGTCCCCAGTACTCCGTCCCGCAGGCCGAGCTGCAGGGCCGCGTGCTGAGCCTGTCCGTGTGGCACCGCGAAAGCCTGGGTCGCAACATCTTTCTGGGTGAAGCTGAAGTGCCCTTGGACACGTGGGACTGGGGCTCTGAGCCCACCTGGCTCCCCCTGCAGCCCCGGGTGAGGCAGCCAGGCCGCGTGGGGAGACCTGCGGCTCGGGTCTCCTGCATTTACCCCACCAGGCTCTCCCGCAGCCCCCTCAGACCCCTCCTTCGACAGAGCCTCCCCTCAACCTCTTAACGTCACGGCCCCAGGTGAAGCCGGCCTGCCAAGGCCCCTTCCATGAGGGCACTGGGACCCCTAGGTTCCGCCCTGCAGGCCCCGCCGTTTCTGCTAACCGCACCCCATCCGGGTCTGCAGACCCCACCCTCCTGAGACCCCTTTCCATTAGCCCCTGCTCCACGACAAGCCCGCCTCTCGCAGGTCCCACTCTCTCCCGACGACCTTCCGAGCCGCGGGCTACTCGCCCTGTCCCTCAAGTACGTCCCCGCCGGCTCCGAGGGTGAGTGATAGCCGGAGAGGCCAAGCTGGACACGCCCTGAAAAGCGGGAGACTCCTGTCCCTGGGTTTAGGGGTGGTGGACTTGCGGGCCTGAGCCGAGCCTCTCCGCAGGCGCTGGACTGCCCCCGAGCGGGGAGCTGCACTTCTGGGTGAAGGAGGCCCGGGACCTCCTGCCACTGCGGGCAGGATCCCTGGACACTTACGTACAATGGTGAGGAGTGCTGGCCCTCGGGGCTTCCCTTTCTTTTGACTGCAGTGGAGTGCCCAACCTCCACAAACCCCTACTAATCAACGCTTGATCACGCAGCCATGGCTTTCACCACTGAGCAGGGGTGAAGGGGATGGTTTGAGCAAAGGCCTGGAGTCAGGAAAGTTGAGGACACCTTTGAGGAGCTGCATTTCAGTGTGACTGCCGCCTGTAGGACTTGTTGAAAAGCTGAGGCTGAGGGCTGCAGGGGTCCTTCCGCAGAGAACCTGAGAGGTCAGGCTGTGGGGCTTGGCCTGGAACTTACAGTTCAGTGGTCTTCAAAGTAAGCTTCCAGGGGACTTCTAGGGGTGCCTCCAGGTGCTGCCCCCACCCTTAGAGAGTGAAATGGCCGTGGGCAGATCACTTCTGGGTGTCCACCCTGATGCAGCCAGAGGCGTTCTTTCTTTCAGGTATTGTACTTCTGAGCAACACTGTATTTTGAAGAGGGGGTTCCCAGGCTTTGAAAACCTTGGAAATAGGCCAGGCATGGTGGCTCACGCCTGTAATCCCAGCACTCTGAGAGGCTGAGGCAGGTGGATCACTTGAGGTCAGGATTTCTAGAACAGCCTGACCAACATGGTGACACCCCATCTCTACTAAAAGTACAAAATATTAGCCAGGCGTGGTGGCGGGCACCTGTAATCCCAGCTACTTGAGAGACTGAGGCGAGAGAATCACTGGAACCTGGAAGGCTGCAGTAAGCCAAGACCATGCCACTGCACCCCAGCCTGGGCAAAACAGAGCGAGACTCTGTCTCAAAAAACAAGAAAGGAAGAAAGAAAGAAAAACCTTGGAAACTGCTTGAGGAGGGGTGGTGGTGGAGCAACAGGGAGATAATGAAAGTCACTGAGCCAGCAAGAGTAGCAGAATTGCATTTCAGAGACATCGCTCTGCAGCCCTGTGAATAGGAGTTGTAATTTTTTCTTTAGTATTATTTTTTTTAAGACGCAGTCTCGCTCTGTTGCCTAGGCTGGAGTGCAGTGGCACGATCTCAGCTCACTGCAGCCTCAGTTTCCTGGGCTCAAGCGATTCTCCTGCCTCAGCCTCCCGAGTAGGTGGGATTACAGGTGCACGCCACCATACCCAGCTAATTTTTGTGTTTTTAGTAGAGATGGGGTTTCACCATGTTGACCAGGCTGGTCTCGAACTTCTGACCTCAGGTGATCCACCCACCTCAGCCTCCCAAAGTGCTGGGATTATAGGTGTGAGCCACTGTGCCCAGCCAGGAGTTGTAACTTTTAAAGCCAGGAGACCTGAGAGGAGGCTGCTGCAAAGGTCCCAGGGCAGTGAGGGTCTGAGGTCAGGCAGGCAGGAGCCAGGGGACACGGACATATGTGAGGGAGAATGAGTGGGACATGGTAACTGGATGACTCTAGGGAGTGTGAGGGGTGGTCACCTGATGCCAGGCCACCTCCCGCACAGCTTCGTACTGCCTGATGACAGCCGGGCCAGCCGCCAGCGTACAAGGGTTGTGCGACGCAGCCTCAGACCTGTGTTCAACCACACCATGGTGTACGATGGCTTTGGGCCTGCCGACCTGCGCCAGGCTTGTGCCGAGCTCTCCCTCTGGGACCATGGGGCCCTGGCCAGCCGCCAGCTGGGGGGCACACGCCTCAGCCTGGGCACTGGTAAGTGGGGTAGCTCCCTGAGACAGGCCCTGGGAGATGGGGACTCAGCGTGTGGCCCTGGATACCTCTCTGTCCTTTCCTGAGCTTTGATATCTACTGAGAACTGAGGGTGGTAATGGGGGACAGTGCATAATCTGGGACCAGGCAGATTATGTGTTTGGGGGCCCCAAGGTGTCCAATGTGATCATGCCCTCAACCCCTGCCCACCCACATCCAGGCAGCAGCTATGGGCTGCAGGTGCCCTGGATGGATTCCACACCAGAGGAGAAGCGGCTGTGGCAGGCCCTCCTGGAGCAGCCGTGCGAGTGGGTGGATGGCCTTCTACCCCTCAGAACCAACCTGGCCCCCAGGACGTAGCCCGACCAAGCCTCTCTCTCTGGACCCCCATCTCAGGGCCTGCCCTTGGCTAAAGTCAATAAAGTCTGCTCTAAGGGCAATAAAAGGCTGGTGTCTGCTGGGGCAGGGAGGAAGAAAAGTGATTGCAGGAAAGAGCCAGGGAAGTAAGAGGGGCCAGATTAAGGAACTTTAGACTCCGCCACAAAGACTTCAGAGAAGCCAGGCACAGTGTTTCACACCTGTAATCCCAATGCTTTGGGAGACTGAGGCAGAAGCATCACTTGAGCCCAAGAGTTCAAGACCAGTCTGAGCAACATAACAAGACCACATCTCTACAAAATTTTAAAAATTAGCTGCAAGTGGTGGTGTCACATGCCTGTAGTCCCAGCTACTCAGGAGGCTGAGGCAGGCAGATTGCTTGTGCCCAGGAGTTTGAGGCTGCAGTGAGCTATGCCACAAAGCAAGATGTTATTTCTACAAAAAAAAGTTTAAAAATTAGCTGAGTGTGGTGGTGCACACCTGCGGTCCCAGCTACTTATGAGGCTGAGGAGAAAGGATCGCTTGAATCCAGAAGCTTGAGGCTGCAGTGAATATGACTATGCCACTGCACTCCAGCCTGGATGACAGAGTAAGACCTTGTCTCTAAAAAAATTTTTTTTTTTTTTTTTTTTGAGATAAAGTCTTTGCTTTGGAGTGCAATGGCGTGATCTCGGCTCACTGCAACCTCTACCTCCTGGGTTCAAGCGATTCTCCTGTCTCAGCCTCCTGAGTAGCTGGGATTACAGGCACAAGCCACCACACCCAGCTAATTTTTGTATTTTTAGTAGAGACGGGGTTTCACCATGTTGGTCAGGCTGGTCTCGAACTCCTGACCTCGTGATCCACCCGCTTTGGCCTCCCAAAGTGCTGGGATTACAGGCGTGAGCCACCACACCCGGCCTAAAAAAAAATTTTTTTAAAAGACCTAGGAGGCTCTTCCCAGGGTACCCCTACCCCCATACACCTCCAAAATTGCCAGGACAAAGGTTCAAAAGTGTTCAATTTAATACGTTTTGTCTGGTAGTGCTTGGGTGCCTGTGGTTGGTTTCTCTCACTGGAACCAGTCCTGGCCCCCACTCGCCTGGCTTCCTCCAGTCACCCCAGGTCCTGGGGCTGGTGTGTCAGAAGCTGCCTTTGTCCTCTCCATTCATCCATCCTTGGATCTGTCTGGCCTCTGATGCCCTCATTCAGCCTCTCGGGGTCCAGGGGTGACTGGCGTGGATCCTGCTCGCTGTGCCAAGATGGCCCTCCAGATGCGGCATACCATCCCTCCCCTGGGGGTAATGGACTCTGTGTGGCTCAGCCAGAAGGTGGCCCTGGACTCTCTCTTGCACCCACTGTCTGCCCAGTGCCCCCTCTGTCCTTAGGAGACCCAGGTGCCCCTTTGGTTTCCAGGAAGGAACCTAGGCAGGCCTGCAGTTGGCCAGGATGAGGCCACATGCATGGTTCACCCTTGGGGGACCCAGGACGTACCTGATGCGGGTATAGATGAGGTCATCTCGAGTGGCATAGGTGAGCAGGGTGTGGAGGGTGAAGCTATGGTTCAACAGCTGGATGTGGACAAAGACCCGCAGAAACAGGGAAATAAGAAATTACAGAAAGATGTGTCCAGAGACCTGGGTACTAGCTCTGCTCTGCTGCCAAAATACTGAGGCAGATCACACCCCCCTTCTGGGCCTCAGTTTTCTCATCCATACAATGGGAAGAGAATACTAAGTGTTCTTCCAGTATTGAGATTCTCTGCATCAGAGGGCACAGTGAGAAGAGCGGGCAGATGGACAGAGATGGAGGCTTTGGCTGGTGAGGTCAGGGATAGCCAAGCACTCCCCACCTCACCATTTGGATGGTGCCTGAATCCACATTCAGTTCCTGTAGCCATTGCACCAGGCCCTGGTCCGTTGAAAGAGCGGCTGTCAAGAAGCAGTCAGGTGATGAGCCCAAGAGTGCTTCCTGCTAGAAGCTGCCTCGAACCCACCAATAGTGTTCTCCAGCCAAGGCCCACTCACCTGGGGGCTCTGGGGCCAGGGCATAGGTCCGGACTTCCTCATTCAGCCGCTGTAGAGCCCGCTGCACCAGGGCCTGGTACTCCCGTTCCTTCCCCGCCAGGACTTCCCGCAGCCTGTGGGGCAGAGAAGAGTAGAATGGAGTGGTGAGTGGGGAGTGGGTTGAAGCCCGGCAGAGGCTATGAGCGATTCCAAGGGGCTTTACCGATCAGTCTCTGCCCTCAAGAGGCTCAGCTGCACCATCAGAGGAGCGGGGCCCTGCTCAGGCTCCACTGGAAGCAGGCTCTGCTGGCCTGGGCTCTGCTGTGGCCTCTGCTGGGAGTCCCCTTCTTTACTCAGCTCCTCTGACCTCAGTGAGACCGCCTCCTTCTCCACCTCTGCAGCCGGGTGCCGTGAACTCAGGCAAGGCTACAACGCCTGTTTGGGACCCCCAGACCCCAGCAAGGGAGTGCGGGGGTAGGGTGCCCAGCTCTGGGCAGGCCCCAGGCAGTGCCGGTATGGGAGATGTCCATTTAGTCACGCCCCCACCGGCGCCTGCCTGCCCCTGTCCCGCCTGGCCCCCACCGGCCCCATTCGATGTTCACCGCGCCCAGCAAGCACCACACCCTCGCTGGCAGGAGGCCCGTGGCACTCCCCTCCTACCCGGGCCCAGCACAGCCAGGGCTGCCCGCACAGCACGGCTGAGCAGTGAGTCCAGAACGAACATCCAGTGTGGACGGATCTGGCGCCTGCGGAGGATCTGCTTCACCTGCAGGGGGAGGGAGGGCGCCGCTGAGACAGCTGAGCCTCAACTAGAGGCAGGGCTTGAGTTGGAAAGGCCCAGAAAGTCTTCGGCGGGAGGCAAGTGGGATGGGCGGGCTTGAGGTCCAGGGAGGGGCTGGGAAGCTAGGACTGGGCAGACGGTTTTTTGCTGCAGGCCTGATCTTCAGGGAGGAGACAGGGAATCTTGGAACATCAAGTCCTGGCACCTCCCCAGGCACGGGGAGCTCACTACCTGTTGTTGGGCAGCTCTGACTACCAGAAGGCGCCCTCACCGCATCCGGGAAGGCAAAGAGCGGTCCGTGCAGAAGTGCAGGCCCAAGGCCCTGGGCCCTCAGCCGTCCTTGCAGAGCCCGCAGCTCCTGGGCCAGCTGCCGGCGGTTGGGAGTGTGGATGTGTGCCCCGAGGCAGCGCAGCAGCTCTTCCACATAGTTTCTGCCCAGACGGGACCCCTGAGAAGGAAGAGAGGGGTGGTCAGCGAGTGTTCCAGCCAAATGAGACGCTGCCGCGGAGGTGGGGTGGTGGGGTGCGGGGACATCAACAGGTGTCCTGACCCCGCGCTACCACCAGGGGGCGCTAGGGTGGGCCGCCCACCTGCTCCTGCTCCTGCTCCTGGTGCAGATTCTCCGCCAGCGCTGGCAGCTCCTGCTCCAGCACCGCGGCCAGCATGGCCCGACGCTTGCTTTCCTGGTGCAGCAGGCTCAGCCCCGAACTCTCCTCCGGAGACGCAGGCTCCTCGGCCGCAGGCTCCTCGGGCACCCTGGGCACAAGGGCGAGCGGCTGATTGAAGACCGGCAGCAACCAGCCAGTCACCTCTGCTGCCGGGTTTGAATTCTGGCTCTCCTACTTTTATGCCTACCTCACAGGGATGGACATAGATAAATCCCGCACTGCGAGGACACAACAAGTCCAAGTTAGAGTTGCCAGAACAGGGCATGGGGAGGCACCAAATGCCACATTCACAAGTGGTCAAGGTGCCCAAGTCCCCAAGGAGGGCTTTTGTAGGAGGGGAGAAAAAGGCAAAACCAGGCAAAGGGAACCCATCCCAGGAGCCTAGGTCTCACCGGAGCTGGCTGGTGCCCCCATAACTGAGGCAGCGCTTCGGGGGGCTGGGCGGGTGCTGAGACGGTGCCTGAGGGCGCGGGAATGTCTGAGACTGGGTGGTTGAGTCAGCTGAAGAAATGGGACTGGCGGAAGGGGCATCTGAGGGAGGGACAGAGCTGTCAGCAGGGTCCTCTTCCCCCCTCACAGCTCCACAACTCCTCTGCCCTCCAGTGTGTCCATCCCGCCACCTCCAAGCACCTGAGGGCCGTGGAACATGTTGGGGGGAGCTGGGGCTGCGGCTCCTTTTCCCAGGCTGCAGGAAGGGGTCCCCCAGCAGTGCCTGGGCGCTGGCTCGGAGGCGGGGGTCTGGCTCAAAAGTTCGAAGGAGAAAGGCTTGGGCCTCAGCCGACAGAGAGCTGGGCATTGGTGGATGGACCTTGTACATACCCACCTGTTGGGGGAGGGTGAACAAGGGTGACATTCAGAGGTGTCCGAGGCCCAGGCTGGCCCTATGCCACTTCCATGTGCCAGGCCCAAAGGGGTCTTACCTGAAACATGGCAGCCTGTGGGCTCCCTAGCTCATGGAAGGGGGGGCGACCCGTGGCCATCTCAATGACAGTGCAGCCCAGTGACCAGATGTCAGCTGCTTTCCCATACCCGCGTGGGCCCTGGTCAATGATTTCTGGGGCCATATACTGCAGAGTTCCTAGGACAGAAGCAGGAGCACTGATGCCCATCTAGGCTTTTTTTTTTTTTTTTTTTTTGAGACGGAGTCTTGCTCTGTCGCCCAGGCTGGAGTGCAGTGGCCGGATCTCGGCTCACTGTAAGCTCCGCCTCCCGGGTTCACGCCATTCTCCTGCCTCAGCCTCCCAAGTAGCTGGGACTACAGGTGCCCGCCACCTCGCCCGGCTAGTTTTTGTATTTTTTAGTAGAGACGGGGTTTCACCGTGTTAGCCAGGATGGTCTCGATCTCCTGACCTCATGATCCGCCCGTCTCGGCCTCCCAAAGTGCTGGGATTACAGGCTTGAGCCACCGCGCCCGGCCCCATCTAGGCTTTAACATGGGGTTGGAGAGGGGAGGGGAATGCCATCATCCTCAGGCCGACTGCACCCATACTGAACCTATCATCCAAAACGTACCACAACACCTATCCTGGTCATCAAACATCTATCCTGAGTTCCATACCACCTGAGGCTCCATCACCTGCCAAGGCTTCCATCATTCACCCTGGGCTCCACCACATTCGCAGACTCCA